CCATGCCCAGCTAATTTTTTCTATATATTTTTAGTTGGCTAATTAATTTCTTTGTTTTTAGTAGAGACGTGGTCTCACTCTTGCTCAGGCTGGTTTTGAACTCCTGACCTTGAGCAATTCTCCCTCGTCAGCCTCCCAGAGTGCTAGGATTACTTACAGGTGTGAGCCACCACGCCCCGCCTTTGTCTTTGTAATATATTTCACTGGGTGTAGAATTCTAGGTTGAACTACTATTCTTTCAGTATTTAAAATATATTGCTTATTGTACTTGTCTTGTTTCTGAGAAATCTTCTGTAATCCTTATCATTGTTCCTCTGTATTTTTCCTCCAGCTGCTTTGTAAGATTTTTCTCCTTATCACTGGTTTTGAATAATTTGTTTATGATATGCCTTGGTGTATTAATTCTATTTTTTTTTTTTTTTGTAGAGACAGGGTCTATGTTGCTCAGGCTAGCTGGTCTCAAAATCCTGATCTCAAGTGATCCTCCCACCTTTGCCTCCCAAAAGTGCTAGGACTACAGGCCTGAGCCACCACACCTGGCTGTATTTATTCTATATCTTGTATTTGGGGGTTCATTGAACTTCTTAGATCTGTGGATTTATAGTTTTCATCAAGTTTGGAGAGATTTTGGCTTTATTTTAAATATTTTTTCTGTCTCCCGCAACTTCATTCCTTTAGAGACTCCAATTATATAAAGTTGTCCCATGGTTCACTGATGCTCTTTTCATTGTTTAAAATTCTCTTTTCTTCGTGTTTCATGTTCCATAGTTTTTATTACTATGTGTTTTTCACTAATGTTTTCTTCTGCAATGTCTAAACTGCTCTTAATACCATCCAGTATATTTTTTTTATCTTACTCATGGTAATTTTCATCTGTAGAAGTTAGATTTGGGTCTTTTTTCCATATCTTTCATGTCTTTACTTAACATTAAAAATATGGAATGTTTTATAATAGCTGTTTTAATGCCCTTGTCTGCCAATTCTAACATTAGTGTCAGTTATGAGTCAGTTTTGATTGGCTTTTATATTTTCTCCTATGGGTTGTATTTTCCTGCTTTAATTGCCTGGTAGTCTTTTTATTATTATTTTTTAAATATTGTTTGAATATTTTCTTTCTTGTTTTGTATTATTATTTTTTTAATTTAAGGGTATGTTCTATAATACGCCTGGTATTCTTTGATTGAATAGCAGGCACTGTGAATTTTACTGTTAGGTGCTGGATAATTTTGTATAAATATCATTGAGCTTTGCTCTGGGATGCAGTTACAATTTGATCCTATTTGATCTTTAAGATTAGATTGGACCAGAGCAGTGTTTACTTAGAATTATTCTCCATTACTGAAACTAGACCCTTCAGAGTACTTTACCTAGCGCGCTGTGAATTATATTCTTCTAGTCTGTTTTATGGGAGTAGGCATTCTTCTCAGCACCATGAGTTCCCTGTAATTTTTTGGATAGTTTTCCCCCAGCCTTGCATATTTTCTTCACATATGTACACTGATCAGTACTCTGCCTAGTACCTGAGGAGGATCCTCTATAGTTCTCTGAAATGTCTTCATGCAGTGCTCTCCCTCTTGGCTGATAAGTGGTAGCTGCCTTGGTCTCCCTAAACTCTCAGTCCCAACTTTTCCACGCAGGAAGTCCAGCAGACTCAGCCTGGGTTCTCCCTCCCTGTACTGCTGCCTAAAAACCCTCTTAAGGCTGTAAGTTGGAGCAATTGCAGGGCTCACTTCTCATTTGTTTTCCTTCCCTTACGGTTACTGTCCTCCATTGCCTAATGTCCAGTGTCTTCAAAATTATAGCTTTATATATTTTTTCTTTTTTTCTGTTGTTTCAGTCACAAGGTCCCTGCCACTCCATCATGGCTAGAACTACTTAAATAAGAAAAGCCTTTCCTATTTTCCTTCATAGTTGCATTTTTAGTCCTCGGCATTGTGTGGATACACATTTCTATAGGCTATAATTTTATTTCTGTCCAAAGAAGGTCCTTTTAACATTTCTTGTAGTGGAGGTCTGCTGGTGATGAATTCTTTCAGCTTTTGTATGCCTAAAAAGTATTTTGCCTTTGTTTTTGTTTGAGAGATGGCGTCTCACTATATTGCACAGGCTGGTTATGATCTCCTGGCCTAGTCATCCTCCTACCTCAGCCTCCTGAGTAGCTGGGACTACAGGCACAAGCCACCGTGCTTAGCATTTACCTTTGTTTTAAAAATATACTTTCATTTCTCTTCTCAGAAAATAATCTATCACAAAAATATTTAACAACAGAAACATAAAATCCATTTTTGATGATTCCAAAGATCTGTGTATCCTGAACCACAACATATGAAAATTGAAAGCAAATGGTGGAATGGTAACATTAATGATGACAGCACATATATATTCTGTTTATCGTGTCAGGCACCATACCTATGAGAGGCTCAGCAGCATATTCAAATATAACATATTCAAATTAGGAGGGTTTAACAAAGGGACTTTACAGACAGTTGTGGGCAGGAAGTAAGGACAATGTAATATCCTTAAGCTAATGACAGCAGGGCTGTTAGCACTCTAGGTTGGGTTACAGGAACTCAGAGGACTCTTTGAGAGGAGCTGAGGCCTCATGATGAGAGATGCAGCCTGGGGGAATGAATGCTCCAACCTCACTCTTCTCACTGATCTCACACAAGACCTTTCATTTGGCTAAACCAAACCAGAAACTTCAGGCAAGAGAGCCCATTGATGAAGTACCTACGGATCACATGGGCACAAAGAGAAGGGTAGATCGGGGTAGATAGTGGATTTGGAAAGGTAAACAAAAATATCTGGTACAGCAGCATTCTAAGTACTTTAGGCATATTAGAACATTTAATTCTCCTAAATCTTTTTAAAATTTCAAAGTATTACAGGGGTACAAATGTTTTTGGTTACAAGGATTGCTTTTGTAATGCTTGAGTCAGGGTTATAGAATTCTGCCAATAAACAAGAGTCATGAATTAATCAATTGCATTAATTGGAGGGGGTATTCAGTGTCTATTTTCACAATGCCAAGGGAAGCCAGGTGGGAGAAACTGACTCCAAACTGAGTGGCCATTCTCTTCATGAAATCTTCCAGGGAGTCTTCAGGCTTTTGGAGAATTAGTTTAAAAAAAAAAGGTCATGGACAGAATGTTAAGTGGAAAGTTGAACGGCCGTTCACTAAGACAGTGGGTTGTAGCTTCCTGTAACCAGATAGTCTTTGTTGAAACAGGATGCTGGTTATGAATAATTTTGCATTATGAGCTGCTGCAGGTTGTGCTGGGAAAGGAAACTAAAGCAGTCAGTGGTGGTGACCACAACCCAGAAGCTGAAACCACACTCCAATTTTCACAAATTGCTAGTTCTGGCTCTGTTTATCGCTTATGACTTTTCATTTAGATTGTAAGGATTACATTTAGTTGTGTGTAAAATAACATCTTGAAAATAGACTGAAGAAAAACCCTTTAGCCCTCAGTAATTTGTACTAACCCACAAAATGTCAGTGCAAACATTTTCTAATATACTAGTAAAGATACGTCTTCTAGTATCAACAGTTGATACAATTATGGAAGTGAACAATGGAGGGATTATTCAAAATGGCACTGAAGAAGGACAAGGAGGACAAAAGGGAAACAGGAGGAAGAAACAGGAGAATGAGAAGTGAGTTTTCTTATGGACTTACATTTATTAATATGCATATCTTTCTTAATCTGGGAATTAAATGTATGTTAAAGAAAATGGTGAGAGCTTATTATAAAGATAATACCATCTTATCAGGCCAATGTGCTACTGAGAATTGGCTATCAACAGCTTAAAACTGTTTAATTTTTTCATCTAAAAACTACTCTTTGTGGGAAAAACTAATCATTTTAAAGAAAAAGTGGACTGAAATACCAGTAAGAATTTCAAAGTGAAACATGCCTTTTATTTAGCCTCAAGTTCATCAACAGTTACCTACACTAACAGTGAGAATCAACACTTCTTTTCTCTAACAACTATGATTTACCATTTATCCGTAGTCTGGATTCAAGATCGTTACTAAAAATGAATACATGAATAAATGAATGGAGAATGCTTGGAAAAAAATAGATCTTAGAAATATGAATTCTACAAAAGCTTTGATAGACCAAATCAAAGCATTTATTTCAGTCTATGCTCTATTTTAAAGTTTGCATTTGGAAACCACAAGCAAAAATTTCAGAAAGAACCTCCCCAGGAGAGTAGTTGAAATTTGATGTTTGTAGGGCAAACACTATACACAGGAGGATAACACTTTAATGTAATTTATTTAAAATGCTTCCAGAAAAGTTTAAGGCCGTTATACAAAACATTCATTTCATCAAAACATTCATTGACTTACTTCCCATAGGCCAATACTTTACAAATGTCTTTTCTCAATATCTTGGCCCAAGTGGCCCATGGTTCCCTGCAAAGAATGATTCATTCTTTTCTTCACCATCAAAAGGCTTTTCTTGGCTTTCCTCTGCTTCTATCTGCAGCAGGTTCACTCAATAAATCAATAACAACTTGAGAAACAAAGTGGTTTTATTTTATTTATTTTATTTTTTATTTATTTTTTATTTTTTTTAACCACACGCCCACTCGGCTCCGCCCCTATGGGGGCCGACAACCAATGGGAGCAACAAAGTGGTTTTAAATAAACTTGTAATAGAAAAAATTCACCACGTTTAAAATCTATAAATACAGAAATACATTTTACAGGGTAAAATTGACCACAACATTTTTTTGTTTTTGAAAAATAATAAAGTATTATACCTTGTTTTTATATTGATATATCTTGTCACGCAGCTTCTTTGAATGCACATGATACATGTACATAATAAAATGACAACATTGTATTTACTGCTTTCTTTTCTGTAAACTTGAAAGACACAGAAAATTAAAAAAAAAGTTTTTTGGCAATAATTTAGAATCATTACTACTAGTGCTGGTGTGGGTACAATTTTGCACAAATCATCCTTAATATTTACATTCTCAGGGAACTTTTCTGTGTATTTAGTTGACTTTTTTCAAGGTCTGCACTCCACCCTGCACTGTAAAATCAAGGCTGGACAAAGAGGTTACTAGTTTGGCTAGCTGATCCTAATTAATCAGAGTTAATGAAGTTGGCCTCTGGAGAATGTAATTATAATTCTGATTACAGTACAGAACCAGAGATGGCAAACTGACCACCTAAAAGCAGAGCAGGAAAACCCAAGGCTCTGGCCTTTCTCAAAATGGACTGGGCCATGCTTTTTCTCTTTTAATGGTTCCCACAGAAGGTTCTGAAATACTTCTCATTCCAAATTCTTCCTCTCCTGTGTTTCTGTAAAGAGTCACTGACAGAGTCACAGCCTGTTTCCCTGTCACTTCATTCACGCTCTCAAGTATGAGTAGGCCTGGGCAGATGAAACAAAATGAAGACAGGGTCTTCTTGTTATCCTGGCATGTTTTCCCAGACCCTCTGGGTTCTTATACTGATGTTTTAGGTTGGTCACCAACTATGAGAGACACCTCTTGGTGCCATGCTCATTTCAGTTAAAGATTCACAGCTAGCAGCTGCTTTTGTCCTGGGCCTTTTAACGTCAACTTCTATTTCATGTCCTAACAGATTCTTACATCAAGCTGGCACTAGATGAAATTTCAAGGTTCAGACTATGTTTCCTGCTTTGCAAAAGTAAGCCTTCAGCATCCCCAGGGATGTTTTCACACATTCTAGTTGAATAACATCAAATCAAGTTCACTTCAAGGGTTGATCTTTCCCGCTTCTGCCTCCAGCGCCATGAATGGCTTTCTCATGTGCTGTTTGCAAGGCTGTCTAAATTCCATGCCTTCAGCTACCACGCCCAAGAGCTGGACAAGCACTAGAGGCACACAGGAGGAAGAACTCTTCAAGCAATCTACATAAAACAGTAGTTTAGAGATTCTTTTTCCATTTTTTAAAAATCCAGCAAAGCAGTTGAAAGTAACTTGTTCAAGTACCTCTCCATCCATCCAGACACTTGTGAAATACAATTCAGGGTAACATTTGCCATGGATTCCAGCTTACACAAACAGATCAGCAGTTGCAGTAATAGGGACAAAGGTACAGATAGAAGACACTAGGCCAACACGGGCACAAAAGTATTAAAAAGTGCTTCTCCAAACCGTTCCATGTGTGGAATGCAAACACTGTACAGGTAAGACACAGGGTTTCTTCCAGGAAGTACATTCTGTCAGATGTGGCTCTCAACGTGCCTGCTGTTCCCACAGGAAGAGTCTGCCTGTTCCATGCGCTCACAGTCGAGGCTGACCTCACTTGTGTCCATACTACAGTCTGACTCACTGTCTGATTGGTCCATCTGCTCAAGTTTTGTTTCTCCCCGTGGCTCCCTGCTCTCGGTGGTGGGATTTAGGAACGGTCCCTCGGAGTCAAGCACCCCAGCCTGCCCGGTGGCACACAGAACCGTTTCTTTGGCTTGACGAATACAATTGAGCCACTGCTGTTTATTGAAGGTATCATTGGCTTGTAGCGAGTGGGTCTGACTTTGGGATCCATTTTTGAAACTGACTCTGAAGAAGTTTTTAACTAGAAATGAAAAATATGTGAAAAAAAAGTCAATGGACAGGTATTTCCCCAGGCCAAAGATGACACATGTAGTGATACTAACCCCCAGTAACCAAGGCAGACATCGCTGATTACAAAGTGTTTCCCACCGATCCAGGACATGGCTTAGCTCCCCACTGCAGCCACCATCAATTAGTTGGAGCTGACAAAGGTCTAGCTCTCAGTTGCCCTCGCTGCTCTCAGAACCTTGCAAGTGGATATCATCTCGAGACAACGGAAGTCTTATGATTCAGGGGACCCCAGAGTACTGGTTACCAAACCTGGTTGCCTAACAAAATCCCCTGGGGTGAGCTTGTTAAAAATACAGATCCCTAGGCTGTATCCTTAGAGATTCTGATTCAATAGGTTAAGGTGGGTCTGATAATCTGTAATTTCAATAAGCACACTAAGACGGAGCTTTTTCCAGTATAAGCAACTCTTTTTAACATCAGAACATGCATGACTCCCCACATGACAGTGAGTACCTATATACTTAGTATCCAATGATTGAGAACGTGTGTGAAGACAAATTTGGTTATGTTTTAAAATGAAATTAAATTTTAATTATCTCAACAGGAGTTACATCCATTTAAAAAATGGTAGTGCACAATATGGAAGACATTCTATTAATCTAATAACAGCAACATAACAGACGTTTAATGGGTCCTGCATACCACATGCAATGCTTGGTGCATGTAAACCTCTGCCATCAGTCCCTTTGCACTAACCCTGCAGCCAACAGGCTGGGATCGACCACTTTACATGGCTTAAAGGCTAAGGCAGAGCACACCCAAATGATTCCTTGCTAGCCATCTTTGGCTCAAAGATAATCTCTGTCCCTTAAATTTGGGTTGTACTCTTTGATCTTGGGCAAGTGCCTTAACTCCTCTATGTTTCAGTTTTCTTATTTGCAAAATGGGGAAAAACAAGAACCTACCTTATAAGGTTGTTATGAAGAATACATGTGATAATATGTGTAAATGCTCATACAATGCCTGGCACACAGTCAGCACTCAAGAAATGTAAGATCTTATTTCTTCTTCTTCTACTACTACTACTACTTCTAGGGTAGAGGGATTGATTAGTAGGTAAGAATGTACACTAATTACTTTGACAATACGATGCCTATGTCAACCCAGGAGGCTCAAATGTTACTTTCCCAAAGAATTCCCTGACCATCTCATCTAAAACAGACCTCTGCTGCTCTTCCTCTATCCCCTTACTGGGTTTTAGCTTTCTTAACAGCACCTAGAATATTTATTTATAATCTATCTCCTTCATCCCAATGTAAGTAAGCTCCACAGGGGCAAGGAAGTTAACCGCTTGCACTACTAGTGCCTAGAACAATGCTTGACATGTGGAATATATTCAATAGACAGTGCCATCTTAGCTTTTTTTGGTTAATTTGTTTATTAAGTCTCAAGTTAGAAAAGCCCATTTGAGTAAGGTTACAGATGAACCCTTATTCCAGTTGACCATTCTTATGTCTCATTAGAGACAAGTCTTCCAGCTCAACTATAAAACCCACTGCAATGCAACTGGTATCCATGTAGGGACTACCTGGTATTAAGCATGCTTTTATCTAATGGAAGAAGACAAAGAAAGGGAGCTTAAGGAGTACCAACTATGTGCAGACAAGTTCACTTAAACAATCTTACTTAATCCTTATAATAACCTTATGAAGGTGGTATGTATATATCTCCATTTTGCAGATGGGGAACTGAGAATCACAGAGGTTCAACAAGGTTACATAATGAGTAGGTAATAAGACAGCATTCAAATATAGTTTGCTAAGGCTGCAGTTTTCCGAACTACCATGACCAAAACCCTTCAGTAGGTCAACCCCAAATGCTATCCGTACTTCTCTCGCTGTTGCTGAATGCCCCACGCAGGGAGCCGCCCAGCCTCACTTCTCCATCCTGCAGGTCTTCCAGCAGGAGGTCCTTTACCGGGATTGGCTGACGGTACAGCTGGTAGCAGAGCTGCTCATTGTGGGTGATGGCTCGAGTGATCACAAGCACTTCTTGGAACAGGAAAACATGCAGTTTCTAGAAGAAAAGAATCCACAGGATTTTCCTAAGCAACAATCTCATGAGTGGTTGATGTGTGGACCTCTGTGGATTGAGAGGACCCCAAGGTACCAGGTTCACACTGGATTATGAACTCCCAGGCTCAAATCTACCTCCAGGAGAACAAACGCTGGGTAGGTCTGGGGATTTCCAGGTGTATCATTGCCTTTCCTAGGACAACGCTTCCCTGGGGCCACTGGAGAAAGCCTTTCTGCCTACAGACACCTGCAGCCAGGCTGCCAACTCCAGGGGCCCTATTCATACTGTAATTAACCACCTGTGCGGACACACATGGACTCCAGCACCTGTAAGGAAAGAAATGAAAAAGGAGAATAGAATGAAGGGGGCAATGAAGGGAAAAAGAGTTAGCATTCCCCTGGCTTTGGTTTATGTTACTCAATGTAATTCTAAGAGATCAAAATTAACAATAGTCTATAAAGGACAAGACTGGTATATCAAAGTCTAATATTAATATTTGCTTCCCAAACTCATAAAAAACACTTGCTCCTTCAACCACAGAGCTGCTTATCAGCTTCATTCAGGAACTCCAACTCAGAACACTGCTCTTTCCTGAGGGAACCAGGGCATGCTTCCACAGCCACAAAGAAAGATGATCAAAACTTTCCATCTCAGTTAAGCTTATCACAACCTCAGTTCTCTGAAGAAGTCCTGCTTAAAAGGTTGATGACTGATGTGTGTATTGTAGCCAAAAAGAAAATGAAGGCTTGTCTCAAACTGCATCATGAAAACAAGTTTAGTCAGAGAGTTGAGGTAAATTTGCTCCATTCAACCCTAAGTCCTCTCACAGTTTGGAAACGCTGAGAAATGGAAGTGTTAATATTTACAGCTTAGCAGCTAGGTTCTGGTTTTCTGGTGGAAACATTCGGAGATATCAACCCAAGGGTTTCAAAGGGGAGATCAGAAGGGGAAGGGTGGAAACTCAGATTAGAAACTTGATTTAGGGTAGAGGAAGCACATTCGGCACTATCAAATAATTTTATATTTGAGAAAAGAAACCTGTAGGTCTTCTACCCCTATCCCACCACACACACATGTACACACACAACAATAACTGCAGAAATAAAAACTCAACCAAATCTTGGCTGGTGGGAATAAGATATATATATTTAAAAAGGCTTTTTAGGGTGGTGGTAGTAGAAAGAATGTGTTAAGAATTTTCTTTTGGGGGTGGGGGAGGGAAAGGGTTGGTCTTGTTTTATGTACAGTATTTAAAATAATCAAGAGTTTTTTTACATTGTTTCCATTTCAATCAATCTTCTAGCCAAAGTAGGCAGTTTGAACTCAGATTGTCTGGGCTAGTCTCAGTTCCCTTTGCCCTCAAACTATTGTGCTTTTTTCCTGACACAGGACATTGTTCACAATGACCTTCACAACTCTACTGGGGGAAAAACAACCTCCCACCCCAACTTGCTACCTTTATTTTCAAAACTCTATCTTCCTGCAATAGGAACTAGAGTTCATTTTTAATGCCCTGGACACATCCAACCACAGAGTCCTCAGTCCCTGATGGATATGTAGAAAGAGAAAAGGCCCACATCCCATGGAGAAATGTATTTTCCTATCTCCTACAGGGCTTTCTAGAGAGAAAGTTCAAGGAGCTGAGTGTCAGATATTAGAAGGTCACCAGTGCTTTCTGAAAGTCGGCAAGAAGCAGAATACAACTTTGTAGCCATCGGTAACTCCCTAGTCAGAGAGACACTCATCTTCAAGCAAGAGGCTTGACAGGTCTCATTACTCCACTGCACCATCAGCTGGCTGGACTGGCTGCAGCCCTGACAACGAATGGGCTGCCCACTGATTTCAAGTCACATTTCCAAGCCTACTCAGTCCAGGTCAAAATGGTGTCCCTTGAATTATCAAAGCTTTATTAAGAACTCCTCAATCTAATTTTGGCTTTCATTATGAGGGTTGGTTAGATACTGAAGATGAAATACAGTCAAAACAGAGATTCTCTCTCCCAATGGCTGTCTCAACACACGACATTTAAACACACACACACACACACACACACACACACACACACACACACACACACACACACTTAATTCTTACTGGCTGTACATACAAATAGCCTGGTGAGTTGAATGAATTTTAAACTCTCATATAATTCAAATTCATTCATCCTCTGAATAAGCATTCATTCATTGAGTGTCCAGTAAGTACCAGGTCCCCATAATAGGTTCTGGAGATTGACAAAGCGTAGTCCCCACCCTAAAAGAACATGGTATAATGGAAGATACTGACAGACAAATGGAGAATTGCAACCTACTGTAGTAAGTGCTCCATGGTCAATTTGCACAGTTGCTTTGATAGCAGAGGAAAAACAATTTTAATATCTACTCAGGGATAAAAGCCAGGAAATGGGTACCTACGGGTCAGAGCTAGATACTCAGCCAATGGAAGATAGGCTATTATTTTAAAAAACAAAACAAAAACCAAACTGATCTCAACATGCCAGTCTGTGGATCAGTCCCAATCCTTGAGAAAGTAGAGTTTCTCATAAGGCTAAATATATTAAATTTAAGAGCCATCTGTTTTTCTGAGATTAAATCCTTTTAAAATGGTGTTAAAATCATCTTTTATTTTCTGAAATCAAAGTGGGAGATGTTAACTGTTCTTTGTTTGTTTTTGAAGGTCATGATCAAACAAAACAAAAAGCTGGCAACCCTATGCTAGTTTCCAAAATTCTTTCTGAATATGTATTGGGCCATGACATTAAAAAAATTTTTAAATATGTATATGATGAATGAATATAATATATATAAAATACATTATATTATATATAATCTTGTGATATCATACTGGATCACTCACTGACAACACTGAAAAAGCAATTTTTGTTTTAAAGACCATTACTCTAGGTAGGAAAGGAATAGTAAGAAGAGGCTCAGCATTACATGGATTAGGGTTGGAGAATGCCCAGGATGAGACTGCTCAAGGACAGTAACCACTTACCACACCCCGGTTGTTTTTCAGTTCACCATGACAACACAAGACTCGTGAGCTGTCGATCAGGGAGTCTTTCTGGCCTTCCTCCAAGTAAAGAAGCCGCTCTTTATAATAGCGGCATTCAGACTCCCCAGTTTTGGTGTCGATTTCTGCCACGATCCCCTGAATGATGTTTATCTGAACAAAGAGAAAATAAGTATGGGGGAAAGTAATAAGCAAACCCATCCTCACCAACACGTCTTAGAGGCTCAGCCTTGGAGGTCACAAAGACACACTTGGATTTAATTCTGAGATTGGTATCTAAGTTGCTACACTGGGAAAAGAGGAAACAATACATGTCTTTAGTATACTATATCTATCCCTCTGTACACATACACATATATACATATGTTTATTTGTATACATGTACATCTATTTGTATGTAAAATTAATGTTGATACATAATTTTATCTGATGGGAAGATATACAAGGTATAGTATTTGATGTGAACAACATATCTATTGCACCTCATGCTCCACATTTCTTAAATCATGCTCACAATGTTGAAAATGTAGGAATATAAAGAATTTGGCCAAGGACAGAAAACAAAGCAGAATGCAAGAATCCAAAAATGGGATCATCTCTGGGGATTTATAAGCTAGTTTCAAGGTCTCTCTACATGTACTCAATCTAATGTACAAACAATATTTGCAAATCAGGTGTGAACAAATGGTTTGCTTATCGTTTTTAGTGAAAAACATAAATGTTTTATAAAGAACAGAGAAAATGAAAAGAAAAGAGAATGGAAATAAAAGATGCTAGGAGTAATGATGGGGGCAGTTTGTTATATACATTTGTGCCCATGTCTACGGCACATGAGTAAGTCAGGGGTAGAAGACTATAAAGCAATGGTGAATGCAACATCGTTAACACAAACGACAAGAGCACTGCACTGAGACGTGATCACTGGGTATTCATTCCGACGTGTTGCTATTCTATCAAATGGACAGTGTGTTTAAATGTTAGAAAATATTAATACCAGAAAACAAAGGAATGAAAAATTAGTTGAGCAAAACTCAACGACACCAATCAAAGGCAAAACGACGCCTTTCTCAGCAGGCTCCTCTGTCCCCAACGGTCGCTTTGTTCTTGTGGTGGTAACTGAAAAGAACTCAATCTCTTCTTGGTCACATTTACTTAACAGAAAAACCAAACTCTGTGAAAAGCAAGGTTCTAAAAGAGGCCTTTACTCAGTCAAAAGCTACCATACCTTGTAATGTCTTAAAGTGGTAATAAATTCTAGGATTAAGTGATTATTTTTCATATGTTAGTAAAATGATACCATCTGCCCAAAGCAACTGGGTAAAAACTATTTACCCAGTTATAACAACTTTTGAACTTCCACACAAGTTTGACAGAAGCCTGGTAACTGCATCCTATGGATGGATATATAATCTGTACATTTTTGTAGCTATTAAGAGTTTCAGGCTGGACACGGTGGCTCATACCTGTAATCCTAACACTCTGGGAGGCCGAGGCGGGAGGATCATTTAAACTCAGGAGTTCAAGGCCAGCCTGAGAGCAAGAGTAAGATTGAGACCCTGTCTCTACAAAAAACAGAAAAATTAGCCGGGAGTGGCAGCGCATGCCTATAGTCCCAGCTACTTGGACTGGGAGGCTGAGGAAGGAGGATCACTTGAGCCCAGAAGTTTGAGGTTGTAGTGAGCTATGATGATGCCACTGCACTCTAGCAGAGGTGACAAAAAGAGACACCTATCTAAAAAAAAAAAAAAGTTTCAAAGATCACTTATTTACTCTTTCTCTATTTCCCAAATTTTGGTGGTGGCATTACTTTGATGGAAAAACACCTACATTAATTTTTAAAAATACAGGCTTTTTAGTATCATAAAAGAAGTTTCTGACTTTTGATGTCAACCTAACATTAAATATAAGTCCTGTAAAATTAATCTAAGTTTTATTAACACAAAAATAATAGCAGAACTCTTTAGTATAATTTCCTCATTGTTTCTCTTTTCCTCTCTTAGTTTTCCAAGATGATTGATTAATCACTGTTACTTTCAAGACGAACAAAAAACAAATTTCACAAAATATACTAAAGCCATGATTTATCCTTCAAATTAAATTAATTTATGTTTAGTGTTAGACTAGGTGGTAGCAGTCAAAGAAATGAGAGAGGGTCTCTGTCCTCCAGAAGCTTAAAATATATGGGAGGTATCTGAGCAATTGTTGTATGTCTAACCTTATTCTTTTACCCTCCTACATTTTTAACATGTGGTGGAATTCATACTTTTTCCTAGCTTTTATTTTATTTTTTTATTTTTTTGAGACAGAATCTCACTTTGTTGCCCAGGCTAGAGTGGGTGCTGTGGCATCAGCCTAGCTCACAGCAACCTCAAACTCCTGGGCTCAAGCGATCCTCCTGCCTCAGCCTCCCGAGTAGCTGGGACTACAGGCATGCGCCACCAAGCCCGACTAATTTTCTGTATATATATTCTTAGTTGGTCAGTTAATTTCTTTCTATTTTTTAGTAGAGACGGGGTCTCGCTCAGGCTGGTTTTGAACTCCTGACCTCGAGCAATCCGTCTGCCTCGGCCTCCCAGAGTGCTAGGATTACAGGCGTGAGCCACCACGCCTGGCTCCTTGCTTTTAAAGATCTGAGCATTAATAGCTGTGGCTTATCTTATCAGTTGACTATTACTAGGTGTACCTGGACAGTTGGAATTGATGGGCACCTGAGTCAATTTTCTGAGTTTTCTGCAAGTATCTAGGAAACCAGAAAGAAGATACACTACACACATAAAGGTGTGTTCATTTCCCAGTTTAACTCAGGAACTGAACAGCTGGTGCGTCACATGAAGACTAATAAGCTCAAGTGCCACAGTGGTTCCCTAGGCAGCTATGACTACTTTCACATGCTGCTTCTTTCTCTGGTATTTGAAAAAGCAGAGAGAGACAATACAATGGAAACAATCGGTGTTATCATTCCATATTCTCTGTATACATTTATAATAGTAATTCTGGGTCTGCTTTCATTTATTAAAAATAATGTTTTATATTCATATCTACCCAAACATCATAAGAGTCTTATCTCGCTGCACTGGTTCTTTTTTTTTTTTTTATAAGGACAACAGTTTCCTATCTGCACTGGTTCTTGAGAGAGATTTCTTCTGCAGGATTTCAGGGAGAAATAAAGTTGCATACAGCAGGTTGCCAATGGCAAGCAGCCAATGTAGTTGTGCATTTAAATTAAATTTATTGTTGCCTCTCTCACCAGGGTTCAAACTGAAGGAAGGGACTGGTAAAGGGAGACGATGAGAGATACTTGGTAATAATGCAGGGATTAAGCCCTTACATGCTGGATCCAGCATGCTCAACGTGGAATCTGAAAGCCCTGTCTGGTCCTTTGTGATGCAATGTCATCTACTCATTGGCTCTTGACATGGACCAAGAATAGCAGTCTTCCCTGCTGTTGCTCCAACAGCAGGACTCTTCATCCCACTGATTTCAGTAATTTTTTTTAAGGAGTTGGGGAACAGTGGTGGGCAGGGGGAAGAGATGGTCTGCGGATTATTTTCTGCCTAAAATACTCCTTAGAATGTAAAATATTAAACAACCAGTTCTCTGGAATATCCGAATATCCAAAGTCCTATTTTAAGAAGTTCTCTTTTGGGGGAAATTTCTATCAACCTTCGAAACACTGTTAAGAAATTCTAATAAAGATGTGGTAGTTTAGACATTGCACTAAAAACAAGGCCTCTTTTTAGATCTAATCATAGGACTGAATGCAATCAACTCCCTTGGTGTGGAAGCTATTTACTCTCTGATTTTTTTCCTTTTCATAGATGGGAAATTTATTCAGAGAACATATAAGTGAAGCTACATTAGTACTATGGGTTTTATATTTACTAAACATTCACAATGCGCCCAAGAGTGTAGGGCTAAATAATTCTGCTCATCTGGATTAATGCTATGAGGATTTTGAAAAGAGGGGAAAAATTTCTGTGTGTACAATGTATAAATGGGCATTAGAAGACTTGGCTTGTAGACATTTTCAAATGCAGATATACTGTGCTTCATGCACAGATCTGCCTGAATAATTAGGTGCAGATTCAACTTTCATGCACTAGAGAAACTGGTTACTGGCACATCCTTTTATATTGCAAACAGTCATATTCTTATCTGTTTTTAAATTCAAACTTCAGCTCAGTGAGTGTTTTTAAAAGCAGAATGGTATTCTTCCATGCTGCATATTAAAATGGAGGAATCTTTACAGTAAACTCAGAAAATGCTCCTGTGCTTCAAAAAATAATTATTCAGAGTAGCTTGAGCTCCCTGTTGTTTTCATTCCTGCAGACCACACACTTGCCAGGATGAAATATGGAGAGGAGGAAACTCTAACACTCTTCCCAGTAATAAAAACAGACATGATGAAGTGAAATGGGCCTCATCTTCAGTGCCTCCCTTCCCCATCTGTGCTGGATCGAGGGCCTGGCATCTGTGTGTGCCTGCCAGATACACTGCACACCTCGTGAATCAGGAGAGAGCCTTTCCTCACTCTTCTGTCTCCTATATTCTTCTCTCCTGTGTGGAGACACAGCACAGCCCTGCACCAGTGAGGCCTCTCCACAAAGCCTGATGACCAGACAGCAGCTCTCTGCAATCCCAAAGGCAACAGGGGGCCAAACAAGCAGCCAGCTTTCCATATCCAGGTATAGAATTGCAAAGAAGAAAGGTATAGGGTTTGGAATCTGTACCACTTGCTGGCTCAAGACCTGGGTAAGCTACTTAACCCCTCCAAGACTCATCTGGAAAATGATCCTAATAAGAACAGCTATGTTATAGGTTGTTGTGAGGGTTAAATGAGACACATAACCTAAAAGGCTATTATATAAAGTTGTATTTACTTGGTACTTAATAAATGTCAGCAATTATTACTACCACTTATTATTAAACCCCTCTCTGGGAGGAGATAGGCAGTTTGCTCAGCAGGTTCAAGGCTTCTGATTTTCAAATTACGGATGATATCCTCCCTCCTGTTATTGCGCTCAAGCCACTCGCTCTGCTCTGCCCTGCCCTGCAGAGGACCTCAACCAGAACTGAGCTCTCTGGGTGGAAAGTTCACAGCCTACAATGTTCTAGCGATATGGATCCCAATTTCCTTTGTCTTCTATGACTGCTAAGAAAAAATCTATGTTTCCCAAATCACCCAGCCCATATGCAAAAACATTTGCAGAGCGAGGAGTCCACTAGTGAGCAGGTTTGACTAGGCACTCCACTGCAATTGTGGGCTGAGGGAAGCTAGATCTTAAATGGATGTAACTTTCACAAATGGGCTTTGGGACTAAGCTAAAAGGCAACTCCTTGTTCTCTAACTAAACAGACATTCAATTTAAAATCTCCACAAAGATCTTGACTCCCATAGTCAGCAACTGCAACCTCAGATTAGAATGACCTATATAGCATCAAGAAATTTTAGAGCCAAAAGGGACCTGACAGTGTGTTTCATGTAAGCATTATATTTTAAAAGTTAGGACACTGAGGCAGAGAGAGGAGAGCAGTGATCTGTAAAATCAAAATATGATTGATGGCCTGGAACCCATGAGTCCTGAGACCCGAGTACCTAGAAACCCTTTCATTCACTCTTTGACCCAATCCACTAGTCACTGTGTGGGAAATAACAAGAGAAGAGAGGAAAAAAACAGACTTACAGCTTCTTCCAAGTGCTGCTGATCCGGATTATCATTTGGTGTGTGCCTCAAGATTTCTCGAAGAAGCAGAGGGTATTTCACCAGACGGCTTCTTGGAATATCAAGGAAATTCCAGAGATCTAGTTTGCGGCTAAAGGGGGATTCTAAACATCTCTGTAGGAAATCCTGGACTCGGTGATCTTGTTTTTTGTGGTCCAGCAGAGCTTTGGCAGCTACTTGATTGCTACAGTAGCTGTCATAGGAGCTGAGACAAGGCAGCTAAGAAGGAAATATAAAAAGAAAATTGGAGTGTCAAAATAATTAATCTCTGACACTACACGTGGTATCACTCATTGGGACTGAACAAACACATAACTGGTCTCCAGGCCTGGATAATATTCCTTTTTTTTTTTTTTAACACGCTCCCTAGAAAAGTAATTTTTAAAAATTAATTATTAGGTTTATATCAACATTCTGCTCAAGAACAAATATTTTTTTAAAAAAAGAATTAAAAAAATAAATTATTGGGTTTAAAATATTAAAAAAAATTTTTTTTGTAGAGACAGAGTCTTGCTAATGTTGCCCAGGGTGGTCTTGAACTCCTGGCCTCAAGTGACCCTCCCTCCTCAGCCTCCCGAGTCACTGGGATTACAGGTGTGAGCCACTGCAGCACCTGGCTTTTTAAATTATTGTTTTATTTTTTAATTTTAAAATTTTTATTTCTTTCCAACATTCATTTATCTGCCTGGCTGGAGGAAACCAGTGGAATCTTCAAAATGGCAGGCAATAGTTTTCCTAGGCCCTGGCTTGCTTTCACAAAGTAATTTTATTTGCATATTTACTTTCTTGATTGTTAAGACTCTATTTTTTTTTTTTTGCACTTTCTACCAATCTAAGCTAGAAACAAATCAAAATTACTGCATACATATATAGATCAGAATTTTCCTAATCTTCCAAAAATATCCAGTAAGTTGGAAGCCTACTATCTTATTTTTAGTCTTTATTTTTTTTTAGGCCATCTAGGTTCTGAATCTTATTTTTAAAAATAGGATTTAGTTTAAAATTATAAATAAGAAACTAATCTAGAAGACTAAGTGGCACAAATGGAAGCAAGGGGTCAGACTCCATAGCCCAGTCCTTGGAGTGGCTTGGGGCAAGCAACTACATTAGTTTAAGATTACCTGATTCCAGGGTGGCCCAATTATAAAGGGCCTCAAGAAGTTAAAGCAAAAGTATGATTAGTAAAAACAATCAGATTCAGGCAGCATTTATAAAAGTTTTAAAAATGAGTTTTGACAGGTCAGGAATGGTGTTTGGCTATAACTAATGCTTAACATCACAATACCATGCAATGAACAATTCAAGCTTAAAGATTTTAGAACATTTCAACTCCACTGCCTTCATTCCAGCAAAATGTTAATTTCCCTGACATGTCCCATCAGTCACATTGTGTAAGCACCATGTCAGAGACTCTGTGGAAAAAGCTTCTCATCCCCTTTTTCTACTTTTCCCTTTTTTTTTTTTTATTGAGACAGAGTCTCACTCTGTTGCCTAGGCTAGAGTGCCATGGCATCAGCCTAGCTCACAGCAACCTCAAACTCCTGGGCTCAAGCAATCCTCCTGCCTCAGCCTCCCAAGTAGCTGGGAATACAAGCACACGCCACCATGCTGGCTAATTTCTTCTATATATTTTTTAGTGGCCAATGAATTTCTTTCTACTTTTTAGTAGAGACGGGGCTTTGCTCTTGCTCAGGTTGGTTTCGAACTCCTGATCTTGAGTGATCCTCCCGCCTCAGCCTCCCAGAGTGCTAGGATTACAGGCGAGAGCCACTAAGCCCAGCCTCTACTTCTCCCTCTTAATGGCACCCAAGGGCTACCAGCCTCCAGAAAGTTATCAGAGGCAATAAGACGGAGCCGATGGCCTTGCTGCATTTGTTTCTCTCCCTTGGACTAGAAATCTGCATTCGCTACGACACTTGCCCTTCAGGGGGATTTGGTGTGAGACACGGGCAAGAGGGTGTCTTTCATTTCTGCATCCTCAGTGCTTTCCACTGTGCCTACCATAGCAGAAACTCAAAGTTTTTGTTCTGAATGAACAAATAAGTGGATGTTTAAAGGATTATAAGATTAGGTAATATTTGAGGGTTTGGGAACATTGCTTAAAAATAAAGTGTGGCAGCAACTGAAAGTTTATTCTGCTGCTGCTTTTACAACTTTCATTGAAATTATTTTCTCAGTGACTGAAACCAGGAAAAGATACCAGTGAAGTAATATTTTAGAAGTTCACTATTGAGCTTAACATTCCTTAGAAATGTCTACCTTCCTTACATGTTATTAAATTAGAAAAAAAACTCTCTACTTCTGTTAAAAAGAGCTGCACAAATTTTCTCCTCAACCTTATATTTGAAAGTAATGATAATTGGTACTTACACACACACACACACACACACACATACACACACACACACCCCAACCAACCCACTCAGACATGATGCTGTGGCTTGTAATTTAGATTTTCAGAGTTAATTAAACAAGGCCTCAGGCCCTCTTCATTTCATTTCTACTTCAATGCCTCTTAAAAAGATCTGGAAATGCCCAGTGTTTTCATTACGGGGAAACAGATCAGCAGTAACCTTGGATGTACACTAGTGAGGAGGCTCGCCTGCATGGCTGCTCACTGTCCAACGGGCCTTACGCTCCCTGATACCGCCACCCAGCCACCATGGCGACCAAACAGGCTCTGATCCTGTGTTCACACCTCACAGAGTGCTCATTTCCTGGGCATGACCTGAAAGGCTATTTGGTTTACCCACCGGGTACAAAAGACCACAAGTGATCTTTAACTATACAGGGGATGAAGAGTGTACACATCTTGGCTCCCAAATACATACACACTCACTTATGCAGAATGTGAGAGGTGAAAATGCAGTGGTTAAGCGGACAGACTCTGAAATCAAGGAGAATCAGGAACACAGACCCATTTACAAAATGCATATACTAATGTCTTTCTCTCTTTTAATAAGGTAAAGCACATAAAATGTGTAGCATGGAAACTGGATTCTGGTTAAGAATCAGTAAGTACTAGCAATTGTTATCTGTCTCTAGAATATTATTGTTGAAGAAACTGTGGTTTAGAGAACCCAAGCTATTTGCTCAGCTGGAGACAAAACCAAGAATCTGCAGCCTGTTCTTGCTTCCCCCATGCTTCTAAAGCTCTGAACTACTTCGCCATCTCTTTAAATAGACTATCAAGAATGTATAAGGGCCGGGCATGGTGGCTCATGTCTGTAATCCTAGCACTCTGGGAGGCCAAGGTGGGAGGATCATTTGAACTTAGGAGTTCGAGACCAGCCTGAGCAAGAGCAAGACCCCGTCTCAACTAAAAAAAAAAAGAAAAAAGAAAAAAAAAAAAGAAAGAAATTAGCTGGACAATTAAAAATATATAGTAAAAATTAGCGGGGCATGGTGGCACATGCCTGTAGTCCCAGCTACTCGGGAGGCTGAGGCAGGAGGATTGCTTGAGCCCAGGAATTTGAGGTTGCTGTGAGCTAGGCAGATGCCATGGCACTCTAGCCTGGGCAACAGAGGGAGACTCTGTCTCAAAAAAGAAAAAAAAAATTCATAAGGGAAACTTGTTCACTTTTTAAAGAAATTCTTATCTCCCTAATATTGTGAAAAGTGACAGAACAAATTGATTGTTTTGGCTTCTATGTACCCTGCCTCTCTTTTAGAAATTAAAATTTAATTAGAACCCAAATTAACATGAGAACTTGCTGCCTTATAGAGCTTATAAATTATTTTATTAGTGAAAAAATGTTAGCACAGAGGTAAATCACTTGGGAAGGTGTTTCTTTACTATAGCGAAGGCTTACTCAAACAAGCTGACCCATTAGGAGTGGGGGACACCGCTCCTCAGTAAACAGGGTGGTTCCCTGAAAAAAAGCAACCACTCTGTTTAAGGTCTTCAAAGTAAAAGTGATTCATTCTAAGGTCAAAACGACTGGCCAGGACTGTCCCACCTGGAAGGCTCATTTGTTTAAAAGGGTTTTTTTTTTTTTTCACTTTGGGAGGAAATAAATCAACTTTCCATGGGTCAAATGGGCTCTGACTTTTCTCATTCAAAGTTCACTAAGATGTTTATTTTGTTCTGTTAAAAAGAACAGAACTCAAACACATGTACTCCTTGGTTTATGGTTCCCACTCGCACGGACACATCTGCGGTTAAAAGAGGTAACACATTTAACAGCTCATCGGGCCTGATAAATAAGTGCCATTTCTCATGAAGTGTGGTAACAACGGGCCAGTTGTTTCATTTTAGGCTGCTCTTCAAGCTGCAAGTCCCCATTTGATGCCTGAAGGGTCTAGATAGCAATGGACCTGCATGATCACACTTCCCTTGGGTATGTACAGAAAGGACTACAAAAGTTGCTCCCAGATCAAACCAATTTTCTAATAAAATGGACATATATTTAAAAAAAAAAAAGCTAATAACAAGGAAAATTCCTACAACTTTGCTTCTGGCACAACTTGAAAATTTGCATGTGATGTTTAAGGAAACCATGTAGTTCTATATCGCTGTCTTATCAAAAATAGCAGTTATCCTGCTAATTTTGGAGTGTGGCCTCACTGCCTCCTTTACCTCCATTCAAAGCAGGCCACAGACTCAGGAAGTTTAAGAAATACTGAGGCAGATCCTCTTCTCATTATACCTTCTCTGGCTCAAGTTGGCTGGCTCTCTTTGGAGAAATTTCTTTGTAGGCTAAAGAAGTTAAAATGTCTACCATGGCTCATAATAAAATGAAAGTCAAAAATATAAATGATCTCTCCTGAAATATTAAGGCACATTTTCTAAATTATTCATCTTAGAACATTACTTGCCTTTCAGATACCCTTGGGATATTTTGGCCTCAGTGCTAAAATTGACTCCTGAACTAAAGCTTTCTAAGTCATGAAAATCTCAAAGTTTCTTGGTCAAAGCAGTCACGGAGAAGCATAAGTTAAGATAAGAGACCAATATTAAAACTTTCTGCACATCCACAGATCATCAGGGTACGAGAACTGGAAGGTTTTAGGAAGGTTAAAATACAAGTGTAACTGGGTAAAAACCTCACAGCACTCTCCAAACAGTGAAATGATCTCTAATACTGGCTGTTGTGGTAGTTTTTCTGGAACACTGTGTGATCTAACCTTGCCTGTAAGAAGTCAATCAAAGTAATCTAATCTCATTATCTGCTTCATAACAAACGACAAACACCCAGAGTTGGGGTGGAACACCCAAGTACTCACAGAAGGAAACAAAAATGTATAGAATAGGGACTAGTGGGTACTGTGGCAAAATAGAGAGTGCATGCCCGAAGGAAATTAAACAATATTATACACCCAATAAAACACAAATTCAGCCCCAGACCATAAATTTATGACCCCTAATCACATCTTATTTTTGTTTGTTTGTTTAATTATGAAAAGGAATGCTTATATTGGGATGAAGGTCATTACATACCCAAGCTCTTCTATGAATCTTATATATGCTAAACATTAGCAACATTTATTATCTTCTTTATAAAACTACATTTTAATTTTTTTTATAGCCCAAAAAGCTTTTTTGGTGGTGGATAGGAATATGTTGATCAATTTTGGGGGGACTAGAAATAGTAATAATTATATTACTAATTGGCCTGAATCAAATATTAAGTAGTTTTATTTTTATTTGATGTGAAACTAAGAATAGTTTCATCTGTACCTTTACTTATTTTATTAGAAAAAGGCCATGTTGTTTTTAGATGCAGTAAATCTGTAATAACAAAAAAATGGTTTTCATGATTTAAAGTGATAAAGCGCAAATATAATTATAAATTTTATTAGGAATTTGCTGTTTTATTTTTTCTGATTTGAAACCAATATTTGCCAATAAAAAACATCTAGCTAAAATGAAACTCCACCTAAATTACCAAAATTTATCTTCAACCAAGACCAGAGAACTTTTCTTACCCAGCCCACGAGGATGGGACCAACATGCTCAGTTGAGCCATCGGGCTTACGGACATCTCGAAGCTGACTGAGGAGCTCTGGCAAAAAATAAACAGAATGCTGATTTTGTTAGGAATTCAAATGCAAACAGGGCTGGAAGTAGGTTCTGGGTTATTCATATTAAAGGTATTACATAATCACTGACTTGTTATAAGAAAACACAATTAAGGCTACAAACACTCTGGTTTCTCTTCAGATCATATAAATCAATTAAGGCTACAAGTCACGACTCATTCCCAGAACAAAACTATACCTTCATGCAGAGGAATTAGAGAGTCCAGTGTTCCAAAAATTTGATTCAACTCTTGTTCTGTCATTATGGAGAGTTTCAGCATGGGGTCGTGATAGGCCTGCATGAGAAGGGCAAGAGATGGAAGCAAATATTTAAAATCAGAGGCAGTAAACTGTTGGTACAGGCAGTCCCTGAGAGGTTCCATCTATAACAGAACGCTGGCTCTCTGACAACAGCTTTCCCCATAACACTACAGAAACACCATGGAGGTGTGTCTGGAGTAGAGGAGAATCCAGCACTGCCTCCAGCCTCATGGTTGTTGATTTTTCAAAAGCTTTTTCAAAAGCAGATTTTTCAAAATCTGCTTTTTTATTCTAATATATTATACAACTAGGAAAGAGCACAAATCCTAAGAGCAGATCTGAGTATTACAATATTTTTAAAATCCACAAGATCCTGCATTTTGAAAAACTTCCACTTTATTCAAAATTAGCTACCAGCAGGTTCTTTTTCAATTAGTACATATATAATATAAAGAAAAAATGATTGGCATCCTTTACTACTGATTTGAAGCAAAGAGAGCAAAATCTCTTCCAATCTTACTACTTCTTATTAAAGATATTAATAATTAAACAACAAGAATACACAGTTATACACCCAGGGCACTGTAATAGAATATGAAGACTTAGAGGCATAGTCCCTGTCTTCAAGGAATTTTATAAAGCTAATTGGAAAGAAAAATGCATGGAAAACTAAATATATGTTTAAAAAATTGTTCAAGATTAAAAACAGATTTCACATGACAGCAAAAAGTTATCAAATCATAACTGTGCTAGAGAGCTAGAGAATTAAAGCTGGAGTGGCCAATAGAGGTTTTGAAGATGAGCTGCTTGGCACGGAGGAGGAGGTAATAAATATTGTAGAAGAATGAATTCAGAGTCTAGCTGGTTCCTGGAGGATGGGTGGATATGGATGATTGAAAGGAAAGAGAAGGGTTTCCAGGAAGGTAGGGCTACCATGAGCTAAAGGATGGCAGGGAAACATGTGAAGGTGCTTGGGTTTGGCAAATCTTCACCAGGAAGGAGGAGTTGGACATATGACCAGCATCACAACTCTAGGAGTTAAATGCCTTCGTCGTCCTCTCTGATTTTTTTCCTCCTCTGGCCCTGCCCAAATCTCAGTTTCTTCACTGTGTCCAAGAAAAGCTTGAGAGGCCATCTGTCAGGAATGCTGGAGGTGGGACTTCATATTAGCAGAAAGCTGGGACTAAAGACCCTTAAAAGAAGGGAAACATCCTTCCAACTCTGTGATTCTTATTTCTTTTCTTTTCTTTTTTTTGAGATAAAGTCTTGCTCTGTCATCCAGGTTGGAGTGCAGTGGCATGATCATATCTCACTGCAGCCTCAAACGCCTAGGTTCAAGTGATCCTCCTAAGAATCTAGAACTGTAGGCACACACCACTGCACCTGGCTACTTTTTAAAATCTTTTATAGTGATGGGGGTCTCATTATGTTGCCCAAGCTGGTCTTGAACTCCTGGCCTCAAGCAGTCCTCCTGTTTCAGTCCCTCAAAGTACTGGGATTACAGGTGTGAGCCACCGCTCTGGCATCTATGAGTCTTTGAGAAGGCCATGAATATCAGATGAAGGAGTTTGGATTTTAGCCTCCAAGACACTGGGGGGTGGGGGGGGGGGGGTTACTGGAATGGAAAGGTTTTTGAGAAAGCTTTCTTACCAAGAAATATATAGGCTTTGTCTTCTGGTGCTGATACCAAAAACATTAAAAAAAAAAAAAAGAATAAACAGGCTACAAGACATCGGTTTCCTCCTCCTCCCTACAAACAATGTTGATCAAAAAGACACGTTTCCATATAAAAGAGTCTAACTTATGTGACAGCATGCAATTGCCTCACTTCACTGTTTCATCTACTTTCAAGATTCAAATGACTTTATTTCTAAGACACAGTTTGAAGCAATTAGAGCAAAACCTCTGCCAATCCTCTTATTAAAGATAAGTAAACAACAAGAATACACAGTTATACTCAGGGCACCAAGTTTCAGACATGCACACATTCTCTCCCATAGACAGGCCCTGCTTGTGAGAGTTACAGGACAATGAAATATACATAAAGCCAGGCCTCCATGGACACTTTCTGAATTTAACTGAAATAGTCTTTGGGGTGCATTAGAGATAGGCATAGGTGAACCCCTAAAGGTGCCAGGTCCAGAGAGCTATTCTGCCTTCTTGTTTTGAGGCATTTTCCTCACTGCTTTGTTTTGTTCTTCTCAATTTTTTTTTTTTTGAGACAGAGTCTCACTCTGTTGCCTGGACTAGAGTGCCATGGTGTCAGCCTAGCTCACAGCAACCTCAAACTCCTGGGCTCAAGCAATCCTTCTGCCTCAGCCTCCCGATGGGACTACAGGCATGAGACACCATGCCCGGCTAATTTTTTCTATATAATTTAGTTGTCCAGCTAATTTCTTTCTATATTTAGTAGAGATGGGGTTTTGTTCTTGCTCAGGCTGGTTTCCAACTCCTGACCTTGAGCGATCCACCCACCTTGGCCTCCCAGAGTGCTAGGATTACAGGCGTGAGCTACTACGCCCGGCCTGTTATTTTAAATTTTTGATGACTTATCTTAGTCCTGAAAAGGGTGCCCATAAAGCACCATTTTAGGGCTGTTAAATTACTCACAGGAAAAAAACATGAGCTGATTCAAATGATTGCTGGATTTAAATTTACCTTTTTTGCTAATTTCAAGTCCTCTATCAAGTCTTCTTCTCCTTGAGAAAGCTCAAAGATTGCCTGCAAGGAAAGATAAAACATATTCACTGAACACTCCCTCATTTATAAGACCAAATTCACACAGTTTTGGCTCTAGCACTCAAAGCCCCAAGTCTACATATTTAAAAGGTACTCTCAAAAAGTTAAATCAACCTGAAGCAAGTGCATCTAGTGCATCTAGTGGCTAAAACCAGCAAAGAGAAGATACCGCAAAACTTCTGCATAATGTGCTTCTCTGTGGGAGAGTTTCCACAAGTTTCCAATCCAGCAAGTCAGTTTTCATGTTATAGAAATTTGATGTAGCCGAACAACAGGGAACTATTTTAGGTAACATAATCACAGCTTGAGCCATGATTTCGGCATCTTTGTTGTGAGTAGCAATCATAAGAAGTGATTCAGGGTCTGCTCTCAGTAATGGATGTGGCAGTGTTATCAACTGGGCCATTACACTTTGTCTTCTTTCTACCCAGCACAAGGTGAATCTCAGCAGAAAGCTTTATTCCTACCATCCACTCATCTGAAGGCTGGGATTCTAGGAAGAATCCAACATTTTACCACTCTAAATAAAACCTGGTGAAGTTAATTCATTCTTAATTACTTTTCAGCCCCACAAGGTACAATAAATAAAATCACAGGAGCTGGCTATGCAGAAGAGTGTGTAAATGGAGCGTCTCTAATTTGGCTCCTTTAAGCCATCATAATATAAAGAGCTATGACGCACAGAACACTCTTTCATTCTCATCTGGGAATCCAAACTGTTGGCACACAATACATTATTAAAGGACTACAAATCTGTGGCGATAGTTTAGGGACTACTGCGTTTCTTTTGGGCTATAGGAAAGAAGTGAGGATTTGAGGGTGCCCTCCACCCTGAGGTTGACTGGTAAACTGGAGGACAACCTGAGCTGGATACTCCAACGATTTCCCCAGATGATGCATACAAAGTGCTTAGCACAGCCTGGCACAAGCCCTTCGACAAGCCTTCCATAAAAGGTAGTATTATCATAGCCATTTAAGGCAATTGATACCAAAAACTTACAGGGGTTGGAATTAACAGCCCTCCATAGGAAAGTTTTCCACAAAGCTGAACCAGAGTTATATGAAATGAATATTTTAAAATATTCTGGAAGTTGCTATCAAAATATGACTGCAATGATTATTTTTTTGAACTTCAGAATCCTAAATAGACACTTGGTTTCATTTTCTTATAAATTCAGATTTCACATCAGTTTCTTTTTAAAGTGGGGCCACACCCAGCTGGATGCTGGTTTCTCAGTTCCTTCCATAAGGTCAGACACCCCAGTTTGTTCTCCTACAAATGTAAAGCAATGACTTCCAGACCAAGGCACAGACCCCAGCATGGCTCTCGCCTGCAGGGCACCTTTGTTCCAGACACACAGCCAACTCGTGGGTCCCCAGCCTACCTCCTGACGTTTGATTTCCTTGGACGTGAGCATCTGATTGATGCACACGTCAAAGGTCTCACTCCACAGCTTGCTGTCTCTCCGCTTCGTGCTTGAGGGGGCAGCATTTCTGGACCAGGGTCTGGGGGCGAGGGCGTCAGGGCGGCTCTCGCTGCGGAAGCTAATGGAGCGCTAAACAATGAGAAAAACAGCCATCATGGGGGCAGTGGCAGGACTGGGTGGATCCTTTGAGCAGCTTCCTGTCGTTGATAGAACACAAATCATACATTTGCAGGAAAAAGCGGACATTACCACAAGGCTTTTGGAAAGCAGAGCATTGTCTTGAGCCTGCGTGCTAAGGAAAATTGGACAGGGCTGCATTTGCACACGTGCTGGGAGTGTCTGTTCTGTGCGACCGGGATACTAAAGGTACTTACTATAGTGCAAGCACATGTCAAGCCAAAGTCACCATGAAGGCAGTTCTTGGATAAGTGATGAGCTCTACTTTTTTCCAGTGGACATCTCCCATCTTCAGAAGAACAAAGGATAACAGTAGTAGATGGCCTTTATTTATTTATTTTTAAACATCTAGCTACTCTCCTCCTCCAAGAACAGAATCTCACTGTCTTTGGGCATCTCATCTCCCATAGTTTGGGTGGGCTCCCCTAGATTGAAACAATCAGAGTAATCCACCTTTCCCCCAAATTTGCTATGTGATTCATGGGAGAAAGAGTAGAAGGGACTTTATTCCTTCAGGATTGTGAGCTCAAGAGATAACATAAGCAGGAGCTTCCTGCAGCAACTAGCTCTCCGTGGTCACAAAGAAGAATCTGCTAAAGGAGAGAATAAAAGGACAAACAGAATGAAGGATGAAGACAGTGACTGATGGAAGGAGGAAGGGTGCAAGTTTTACCAACCCTGTTTGAGCCTCTGGATCCCACTGTGCCTGAAGCTAGGAAGACCCACCCTTGGACATTTTAGTTACATGGGCTAATAATACATTTCCCTTTCTGTACACATTTATCTCAGTTGGGGTTCTGTTATCTTGGAAAGTCTGGACTAATATACATCTTGGTATACTAAATACCATATTGGCAGCATATGGTGCCAGTCCCTGAGGTATTTTCTTATTTCCCAAAGAGGCCCCAGTGGACTTTAGAATGGTCTAACCACCCGAAGTCCACCTGTGTGATCAAAACATGCTACCACAGCGCTTTCTCTTGGGTGTGTGTGCGTGTGTGGACACGCGCATGTGTTGGGGACAGAGTCTCGCTCTGTTGCCCAGCTAGAGTGCTGTGGTGTCAGCCTAGCTCACAGCAACCTCAAACTCCTGGGCTGAAGCGATCTTCCTGCCTCAGCCTCCCACCTCAGCCTCCTGAGCAGCTGGGACTACTACAGGTGTCTGCCACCATGCCCAGCTAATTTTTTCTATTTTTTGTAGAGACAGTGTCTCACTCTTGCTCAGGCTGGTCTCGAACTCCTGACCTTGAGCCATATTTCAGCCTCAGCCTCCCAGAATGCTAGGATTACAGGTGTGATCCACCATGCCTGGCCCACAAGTTTTCTTATGACAAATACAAATGATCAGGAAGAAAGCTGAGTATATCATTTTCAGTCTGCATCCTAGAGTTCATCATACTTATTAGAAACTGTGCGAAAGCAGTGAGGATTTGCTGTGTTCAAAAACCACATTTTTATTTACAAGTGTTCCCTGCCATGGCCTCTTGTGGCTATACCTGTGACATTTCAACTCCTCAGATTGGCACAGAAGGCCTCTTGTAACCTGACCACAGTCTGTATCCTGCCACTCACTCATAAGCCCCTTATTCTCCAACCATAATAGGCTACCTGCCATTCCCTGAATTGTCATGCTTTGCCATCCTTCTGTGCTTCCTTCAAGCAATTCTCTCTTCCTGGAATGTGTTTCCTTCCTTTTGTGGTTAGCTAACTCCTAACTGTCCTCAGGATATAGCTCAAACAGCACCTCCCATAGAAAGCCTTCACCAGTGTTCTCCCACCCTTCTCTCCCTGAGCCATTTGGACATACCTCTGCTATAGCAATGAGTACATTTTTTTATACTTTCTAGTTACCTGCTCTTAATCAGAAACTTCCTGAGGGTAGGAACTGATTTTGCATGTGATATATGAGCTGTCATCACAAAGACATTCTAAGGTAGCTCCAAATTATTTTGAAATTCAACAATAAAATTCCAGAAAGTAAAGGAAATTTTTAAAAGAACTATTCAACTTAAGGGCATTGTTAAGTAAGTTATAATTACCTGCTGGATGGAATATGGCCTAGCCACTAAGTCAATTCTAAGATAATTTAATGGCTAAAAATCCCTTCTATGTAAGTTAAAATAAAATCAGGATGAAAAATCTGTATATGAACACTTTATAGTTATGCAAAAAATGCGCATGAGCAAAGACCTAAAGGGAATGCCACCAAATTCTACTGTTTTTTTATATTGACATTATAGGTGATTTCTGTCCTACTTCACAAATTTTTATGACTTTTAAAAACAACTTCCAAGAAGCTTCAGGGTATTACAACAACCTTCTGGAAGCAGGAAGCCAGCTCAGTTAGCAAGTAGCAACACGAGCCCCTCAGGCTGGCACAGGCATCTGAGAGTGAGCTCCCAGGCTCATTAATGAGCTCATGATTGCTGGACCAGCCCAGAGCAGGAGATCAAGAAAGTACTGGCACCAAATACACAGTTCACTAATGGTATCTCACAAATCCTTGTGATCTTTTAAAAACAGACCCTTATAAACAGTAACTAGTAACTAAATGCATGGAGATCCCCAGCACTTAGAATCAATTAGCCACAAGCACTAAAAGGTAAAACAAGCACAGTGAGTCATCAAGTAACTGGCTCAATTCAGTTTGTGGTTCTGATGCCAGTCAGGACAGCAATTAAACAGCAGAAAGAAAGGAAAACACAAAAAAAGAAAATTCAAAATGAAACACAATTTCCACTTTCACTTGCGAAAATCAACCGCTCACTGTTGCATTTTCAGTCCTTGACCAATTTCAAAGTACCCCCAACCAGTCTGAAAGCAATTTATCGTTAACTTTAAACTTTCATACATTACAAAAGTATAAAATTAAGTATAAATCCTCTCATTTTCCCAAGTCCACTTCCTGGAAGTAACCACTGTTAAGTTTGTTCTAGATGTTCCTAAACTTATTCTATGCATTTGCTAACATTCACAGAAAACAGAATGTTTTCTCTTTCTACTCAACAATATTTAAAATTTTTTTTTCAATTTAAAAGTTTTAATTATGGGCACATAATAGTATCTTTAAAGGGTTTCGATGTTTTGATACAGGCATACAATGTGAATTAATCAAATCAGGGTAATTAGGGTATCACCTCAGGCATTTAATGTTTCCTTTTGTCAGGAACATTCCAATTCTACTCTTTTATTTTAAATTATACGATAAATTATTGTTGATTATAGTCACTTTTCAACAATATCTTTCTGTATTAGTATATAAGACTCTTTAATAAGATTATGTATTGACGTGAAATTCACATGACATAAAATCAACCATTTTTAAAGTGAACAATTCAGTGGCATTTAGTATATGCATAAGGTTGTGCAACTACCACCTCTATCTAGTTTCAAAACATTTCTATTCCCCTCAAAGTCACTTACTCTTTTTAATGGCTGCAGTTAGTATCCTATGATCAGGATGAAACACACTGATTTAATTAATTCACAACTGATGGACATTAGAGTAATTTCCAGTGCCTGGTTAATACAAAAAGTGTCTTAGTGAACACGCTTTGTGAATTTGTGCTGATATATCTGTAAGGCAGATTCCTTAATTCCTTGGTCTAAGAAGTATTAATATTTTAATGTTTGATATGCATTGCCAAAGTGGCCTTCAAACAGGCTGTTCAACTTTGTATTTTTCAGAAAGGATATGGTAGTACACTTTTATTCACACTCCCCCCAATAAGGTATTATCATCAATTTGCTAGGTAAAACAACTAATCCTTAATTTCTGATTCATGTTTTGAACATAAGAAAGATTGAACATATCTTTATGTGTTCATTGAAAAATATTCCAAAGAGTTGGAGATACCACAGAGGGTCCTTTATGTCCTGCCTGCATTTTAGAACTTTTTTTTTTTTTTTTTGAAACAGAGTCTCGCTTTGTTGCCCAGGCTAGAGTGGGTGCCGTGGCCTCAGCTTAGCTCACAGCAACCTCAAACTCCTGGGCTCAAGCAATCCTTCTGCCTCAGCCTCCTGAGTAGCTGGGACTACAGGCATGTGCCACCATGCCCGGCTAATTTTTTCTATATATTTTTAGTTGGCCAATTAATTTCTTTCTATTTATAGTAGAGACAGGGTCTCGCTCTTGCTCAGGCTGGTTTCGAACTCCTGACCTCGAGCAATCCGCCCGCCTTGGCCTCCCAGAGAGCTAGGATTACAGGCGTGAGCCACCATGCCCGGCCTGCACTTTAGAACTTCTGATTTATTCTGTCTGATCCTCACAACCACCCTGCAAGGGGGGAGTTTATTCTCATTTTACTGATAAGGAAACTGAGGCTGAGGGAGGCTAAGGCATTTGCCTAGGCAGGATTCAAACCAGACGTTTGGGTCCAAAGCCTGACCTCTTTCTACTATGGGGGCTGCACCTGCTGTTTACTTGCTGTTTACATGCAAGACATGCATTGTGGGGAGGTTTCAATGAGATGAGATCCAGCTCCCACCTTCTAGGAATTTAAATCTGGTTAAGGAAAGAGAAGGCATTTGCTCAGTTTAGGACTAGTGACTGATCATTTACTAATCAAACTTCAGATTTATACCTTTAGTTAGGCTGGATTGAAACAAACATTTTGTCTTTTCTTACTGCACTCATAAGCGGGGAGGATGTTGAAAGGAAGAATCCCAAAGGAGGAATAAAGAGTGCCAGCCAGGTCTGCAGATGGCTGGCCCTGGGGGAAAGGAATGGCTGCTGGGCTGGGGACAGTGCCTGGGCCACAACAGCACTGACCACACACCGTGAGCTATACTCCTACCAGTCGTCAGCACCACTGGGCACAACCAACCCCAGAGAACTGGAGTTGAGGGAGAACACAGACTACTGCCAGAGGAAACCCAAGGAAGAGGCTACCTCTTGAGAAAGGAGTGTAGCCACGTCCCTTCCAGTACCCTTGCCACTGCCCACCCTGCAC